TGTATTGTATTTTATGTACTGATGATGGTGTATTGTTGATTTTTCCTGTTTGAGCTCTACCATTTTTTATAATGAGAAGCACCTTTGTTCTACTTTAATTCATTTGGAATGTGATTTATAAATATCTGCAGAGCATCTTCCTATTTTTGCACTCCCAGATGACAGTGTTGTAGAGGTACAGGGGGAGGCAGAAGGTGTTCACAGAGCAGTGGAAATGATTGCCACACACCTACGGAAATTTTTGGTTGACCGCGGTGTTATTGGTGTATTTGAAATGCAGGTAAATTTGCTAATCTTGTTTTATATGACAGTACGATTTATTTAAAGAAGATACAAGTACCAAGAGTTTGCATGTTTATATGTCATACCATGTGATCCTAATAATTATTTTTCAGATGAAAATCCCCAACGTACGCCCAAACCAAAACATGCCCCCACCTGGTCCTGCCTGGGGTCCCCCTCATCCCGGTTTTCCTGGTGTTGGACCTGGCTTTGGACCCGGCCATCATTATATTCCGCCTCGTCAATATGATAACTACTATCAACAGGGGGACATGCCTCCTTTGGACAAACAACCACGCCAACCTGTTTCTGCTTATGATAGAGATGCATCAATTGGAACTCATGCTACAAGTACGCAGCCACAACAATCTATGGTTACAAAGGTTAGATTTTTTTTCCTTAATGAAGTTAATAAAATTATGTCGTAGAAAACTAGTCACGCATTTGTTTTTAAATTTGCCAAGTGTAACCAATGTATGCAATTAATCCGCGGTGCACTTCAACTAGTTTTTTGTATAATGCTTGTTGGTGATCCTTTTTGGGCAACTTACATAAGAACCAGCTTTATTTGATCAAAGGCTCTTTTACTTCGGACAAAAAAAAATAAATTGAAATAAATTTATTTTGGAAATTAGGGAGTGATAAAATGAAATGTTAGAGTGTTGCTTGATCCATAAAAACTTGTGGTGTAACCCTGGCATTGGTTTATGTGCCCTAAATGGGCAATAGGTGTCATTGCATGTATTTATTTAATAATTGTATCCACATCATGAAATTCCAACATGTATCCATGGAGTGAAGCAGTTGAGCGCAAATGGATTCACTAAAGAATCCACTGGACTTTTGCTTCCATCCACTATTTTGTGGCGAGTATTGTTTTATTATTTGTTCTCTCACCATCCCGTGTTTTGCTGTTTATGATTTTTAAGGTCACACAAAACATGCAAATCCCATTGTCTTACGCTGATGCCGTGATTGGTGCCTCTGGTTCAAACATTAGCTATATTCGGCGCACTAGTGGTGCAACCATTGCCATCCAAGAAACTAGAGGTGTTCCCGGTGAGATGACTGTTGAAATAAATGGGACTGCTTCACAAGTTCAAACTGCCCAGCAATTAATTCAGGTGCTCCTGCATATTGTCGTACCTTATGCACTATCCATCCCAATGTTTTTGTCTATTTGCTTTTTTGGTACATGGGCCAAGAAGATTAGAATATAAATGAAGAAGATGACCAAAGTACCCTTACTTTATGAGTGTTATTGAGTGGTGTCTGAATAGGAGTAAAAGAGGCAATGCAACATTTTCTACTTTGCCATTAATGGAAAGTGGACAAATACATTTAGGTGACATGAAAATAAGGGGACAACACATCAGGAGAAGAGAGTTTTTCTCCTTTGCCTCAGTGTGTGTTTTCCCACTTCAATTTTTAGTTTGCTCCAGAATAAACTTTTGATTCCTTTTAATGAAATTTTGCACATAGTTTCTCCATCCTTTGCATATATATCAACCACATAATTTCATTTTTTTTTGTAGATTCTCATTAGTTACCTTTTCCATTAATTATTGAAATGTTAATAACTTACCAACTCGTTTTTCATTATGCTTTTGGAAAAACACGCTTAAAAACTAATAATTTCTTGTGATTTAATCTCTGATTCCCTTTTTATTCAATATTTGCAGAATTTTGTTGCTGATGTTACAAGCAATATGCAAAGTGCTGCTGCCGGACAGCCTCCCCAAGGTTATAACCCGTACCCTTCTCACGGCACCGTGTACAATTCACCGCCAACAAGTGCCGCCGGTCACACAGGACAAGCGGTGCCTGGCTCAGATTACGCTTCTCTCTATGGAGCCAACTATGGCTATTAGAGTATTATTATTATTATCCTCTACACATTCGTCTAATGAATGCCTTTAGTTGGGCGGAACAAATGAATATGTGAAATGTTGTGTTAGTTGTTCTGTGTAACAAGTTTAGATGTTTATAACTTCAACTTTAGTTTTTGTTCATGTTTCCCTTATGGACCACCTTTGACGCTTTTCTTTGTCCGAAGTCTCACGAGGGAGTGTTAATGGATTACTGTTTTTAGTATTTTTATTGCTTTGCTAGTCCAGACAGGCTCATGGAGTCATGGGATATGATAACGAAATGGATGCATCAATAAAAAAAAGGTTGATTGCTTTGTTTGGCATTCTCTAACATGACCATAATTCGAAAAGTTTTTCAAACCAAAAAAAGGAAAAAAAAGGTGAAGGGAATAGGGGTGTAAACGAACCGAATTAATTCGCGGGAACTTTTGTTTATTTCTACGTTTTCATTACTTATTTGATAAAATAAAATATTCTTGACACCTTTTATTTTGAAGAACTTTTCATGTAGTTTTTTTATATGTAATTTTTATTTTTTATTTCTTTACCAATATGTAAATAAAATGAATTGAAAAAACTTGATATTTTGCCTCGGTAATAGAAATGTGACAAATAATTTGGGACGGAAGGAGTATTATTTTTTATATATTTGTATTAAAATACTTTTTCGTTCAAGAATGTAATTTTTTTAATTCAATGAATTATTGTCATTTAAATTTAATTAAAATGAAACTTTATTTAGTTTAATTTTAAAAGATGTGTATTAAAAATGTAAATAATAAAAGTTTGAAGCCATAGTTTGAAGCACCGTGCTTTAAATCCATTTCCAACAAAACTGTAAGATAAATTAAAATTGGTACGACAGAAAGAGAAATTTTGAAATCCCGAGCTTCACATGTATTACGAGTGCTCTAATGGTCAAATTTGAAAAGGAAAGTGGCGTGATTTACTACATATTTTTTTATATAGAAATAAAAAATAAAATTTACATTTTTAAAACTATATGAACAATTTTCAAAACGAGAAATGACAAGAATCTTTCATTTCATCCCAAAATAAATAAAAATATATAAATAAATAAAAACAAAGACATTCATTTAAAGAAACTTTTCCCTCCAAAACCACACGCGCCCCTTCAATATTCAGCTGCGCTGGACCTCTCTTCAATCGTCACCGGGAAACCGCCCTCCATTTTAGAGGTCAAATACGATATGTACACTGGCTCGACGCCCTTCTCCGCCACGGGGACAACCCTGAACCGCCTCATAACTCCGGCCACCACCCTCTTCATCTGCAGGAAAGCCATTTCCTTCCCCAGACAAACCCTGGGCCCCGCTTGGAACACCGGATACACATACGGGTCCCTCCCCACGAAGCTCATATTCCCGTCGGCGTCCCTGTTCAGCCACCGCTCGGGGCGGAACTCCGCCCAGTCCTCCCCCCACAGCTCCTCCGCCCGCCCCATCGCGTACGGATGATAGGCCACCCTCCACCCCTTCTTCACCGCTGTCCCGTCCGGCAGAACATCGTCCTCCTCCGCCGCCTTTGAGTCCACCGGAACCGGAGGGTAAAGCCTCATGGCTTCACACAGCGCCGCGTGCGTGTACACCATGTCCTTCACCTCCTCGTAAACCGCCGCCTCTGATTTCGACTCCACCTCCTTCAAGATCTGGATCTCGACTTCCGGCCGCCGGGAAATCAGCCAGAAAAACCACGTCAGAGCGGCGGAGGTCGTGTCCCGGCCAGCCAGGATGAAGCTGATCACGATATCCGTCACGAATTTCTCCTCGGAGTGGCCGGAGCTCAGGAATCTGGAGAGGAGGTCAACGGAATCGAGCGTTGACTTCTCCTCCAATTCCTTCATCTTCTCCCTCACGATCTTCTGCGCGAAATCCCGCACCTCGCTAACCGCAATCCGGAGTTTCCGCTCGGATCCGATGTCGAAAAATCGCTTCAATTTCCAGATCTGAGGGGCGATTTCGTTGAATCTGTTGGTGCTGAGCCGAACAGCTTCTTCGAAAGCCACCGCGAATTTCTCGTCCGGTAGAGACGGCGACAGATAGCCGGGATCGCAACCGAACGAGATGTTACAGATATTGTCGAAAGCGAATCTCTGAAGAACGTCCTGAAAATCCAGAACCGTCTTCCCCCGGGCGGCGGAGGCGAGGACGGGAACCAACCGGTCGGAGAGCTCGTCGTCGACGACGGTCTCTACGAACTTCCGGAGCGACCGGGTGTTGAACTCGTGGCTGGCCACCTGTCTCTGGAACTTCCAGCTGTCGCCGTCGACGTTGAAGATCCCGTCGCCGAGGAAATCGGCGAGATTGGCCCGAGAGAAATCGCCTTTGGAGTAAGCGGAGAAGCGGGTCTTGAGGATGTGCTGCACGTTTTTGGGGTTAGCGGTGAAAACCATGGAGATGCCGGGGCGGTGGAGGGTGAAGGTGAGATTGGGCGAGCTGTGGATGCCGTCGGCAATCCATTGAATCCGGCGGTGTTTGTTTTTGAGCAGAGAAGGGTAAGAACCGAGCAGTGGGTATGATCTGGGGAGCTTACTGCTGGATTTTGATGAGAATACGAGGGAGAAGAAGATGAGAAAGAGGAGGGGGAGAAAACAGAATATCAGAGAAGTTGAGAGGTCGAAATCAAAGATATCCATTCCCACCAAGTTTGGATATGTATTCAATGATTGACGACTGTTGTGGTTGTGAAGATAACTTTGCATTTTAGGAAGGATATATAAAGGGGTAGGTGTTGCACAGTTGTCAAGACAAGGAGTGTGAGTGGAGTAAAACTAGAGTTCGATTCTTTGGCAATTGTGCTAGGAGACAACTATGTTCATAGGACTCTGCAAGTACCAGGTGTAGACTCCACTTTTCGCCACCAATCTGCGATCAAAATCTAATTATCTCATTAACTGTCTGAACGGGTCTGAGGAGACCCTCGGAAATGAAATTCACCTTTTTTTTGATATATTCACACGCTAGAAAAAAATGTGAGATGCTAGGGATACACCAAATGTACTCATCACCACTTTTTTTTTTACTTATTTCTTTTTTATTTTACAGGGATAATAGCATGGATGCCCCCCGTGATTTACAAAAGAAGCGCCAAAACCCCCTCTACTTGCCAAAGTTATTTGTAAACCCCTGTGGTTTTTAAATAATATACAAACACCCCTCTTGCCTATTTTACACATGAAATGACATTTCTGCCCTTGGTTTTTCTCTATCTTCAAATTTCACTCTTTTCTTTACATTTTTTGTTATACAAATAAATAAAATAAAATATACATCCTCTTTCTCAAATTAAATTTTTTTATTTATTTAATTTTCATTTTAGAAAATGTTACAAAAATGAAATAAAATACATTTTTTCATTATAAGTAAAAGTAAAATAAATAAAATAAAAATTGGACTTTAAAAGTAAAATAATTTTTTATTTGTTTTTTAAAAGTAAAATAATTTTTTAAGGACTTTAAAAAATGAAGAACAGAAAGATGAAATAAAATATGGAGTTAAAGAAAAAGACTATTTTTTATATTTTTATTTCTTTTCATTACCTTTTTTTAACTATTATTACTTTTTACCTTGTACATAATATTTTATTTTTTATTTTTTGTAAGATTCTCCAAAAAAATCTTTTGTTTTCAAAAGTACATTATAAAAAATTCTAATTTGAGATGGGAAGCGTATATATTATTTTATATATTTGTATAATAAATGAAATTGAAATTGGAAAAATTCAAGATCGGGGAAAACAAAGGGCATAAATGTCATTTTTGCTTTAAAAATAGGTAAGGGGGGGCATGTGTGCTATATTTAGAAACCACATGAAGTTTACAAATAACTTTTGAAAACAGGTGGGGTTTTGACGCTCTTTTTGTAAACCACAGGAGGCTCCCGTGCTATTAACCCTTATATTACATGCCAAAACATGTGGCAATGGAGGTGGTGGTATAAATCTGGGGTACACTTTTGGTATACCCCTAGCATTTTTTAGAAAAAATTAGCACCTACTTCGGTCTCATTTGATTGAAAATGCTAGGGGTACATCTTTGGTGTACCCCATTTGTCCCTCATCCCCTCATCCACCATATAAATGCGCAAAAAACTTAAAAATAAATAAATAAATAAAAATGAAATAAAAATATATGGTAGAAAAGGGAGTGAGAGACAAATGGGGTACAGCTTTGGCGTATGTATAGCATTGCTCCATTTGATTAGCCGACTGAAGTCTTTCTATTTTCTTACAGTTGGAGTGTTGGGAACCAAGCATTTTTTAAAATACGGAGTAATAGAATAAGCCCAATTCATGGAGCACCCAAAGATAACAAACCCTTCTTTGGGCTGAACTGATCTGCGCATTGTCCATCTTTAACCAGCCCAATGCATTGTCCAACTTTAACCAGCCCAATAACCCGCTCAACCCAATCTCGTACCGTCCCACGTACGGACAAACAAGAATATGAATATTTCGAAAATGGTCGGTTCACAATCGCAGAAGCCTGTGCAGAATTTAACAAACATGTGATTCATTCATTCTTTCTTTCTTTCTTCCAGATCTGAATGAACTTCATGTAAACGCTGTGATTAAAGTCACATGATCAACCGGCAACCTCAATCCCACAATTCCTCCTTATCCGACCCGCCCATGCGATTTAGGTCAGCTGTTTCCTTTTCTTTGCTGTTGTTCATTGATGCTTTGAATCCTCTTTCATTATTGGCCATTTCTGTCTTAGCTCCTCCATTTTTCTTGAATGTATTGTGCCCAATTTTGCCCAATTTTTTTATAGGGTTAGTGATTTTTTCGTAATTTTGTAGCAAAATTTCCCCTTTTTGAAGCTGGATTGGAGTTTTTTTTAAATCCTGAGTCTGTAATTCATTTTACTGCAAGTTATTTGTTGTGGAGATGGGGGAGAAGTTGTGGGTAAGTGAAGAGGACAGGAGTTTGGTTGAAGGGGTCTTGGGGCGGCAGGCGGTGGATTTCTTCAACTGGTCGGCTTCCCACAACCTGCTGTCCGATTTCGTGGCGCCGTGTGGTGGGAATTTGACGGTTCGGCAGAATCTGTGCAAGATTGTGGAGGATTTCGACTGGGCTTACGCCATCTATTGGCAAGTCGCCAAGTCGAAATCGGGCAAATCGGCCTTGATTTGGGGCGACGGGCATTGTTCTTCCGAGGACCGAAACCTGCCTGAGGGAGAAGACAGCAAGAAGAAACATGTTCTTCAGATGATCCGCGCGTGTTTCGGTCGTGAAGAATCTAGTCGTGTTTTTGAGACCAAGTTGTTGGGTTCTTCTTCCTCTGTTGTCTCTGATATTGGAATGTTCTATCTCGCGTCGATGTATTACGCGTTCCCCTTTGATGTCCCTTCCACTCCTTCGCAGTCGTTCAATTCCAGTAGAACAATTTGGGCTTCCGACTCAAAAACCTCTCTCCAATACTACCAATCAAGATCTCATCTTGCGAAATCAGCCCGTTTCGAGACCTTAGTGTTCATTCCACTAAAATCCGGTGTCCTAGAGCTCGGTTCCACAAGACGTGTTCTTGAAGACCATAATGTGGTTAAGATGGTTCAGAGAACATTGGCTGTAGTGTCTACTAATGTGGCAGATAATTTACCTACTAATAGTGTCCCAAGAATATTTGGGCAAGAACTTGTTAGTCTTGGCACATCATTTTCCTCCCCTAAGGTGGAACCGGAATCCGGGTATCCTTCCGACACCTTAAAAGCAACAATAAATGAAGAGGTGGATGAAAAACCGGTTCAACCGAGGAAGAGGGGGAGGAAACCGGCTAACGGAAGAGAAGAGCCGCTAAACCACGTGGAGGCCGAGAGGCAGAGGCGCGAGAAGCTCAACCAGAGGTTTTACGCGTTAAGGGCAGTTGTCCCAAACATATCGAAGATGGACAAAGCGTCTCTGCTGGGTGATGCGATCGCTTACATCACCGACCTCCAGGCGAGGGTGCGGGCGATGGAATTTGAGAGGGACATGATGAAGGTCGTTCCCAATGTTGACGTGCATCAGCGGGCGGAGGACGCGGTTGTAAGGGTAGTGTGCCCTTTGGAAGGGCACCCGGTTTCGCGGGTGGTGAGGGCGTTTAGGGAACATAACGTTGAGGCGCAAGAGTCTAACGTGACGATAACGGAGGAAGGGGAAGTGATCCACACATTCTCTGTTCAAACACAAGGTGGTGATGATTCTTCTGCTGAAGATTTGAAGGAGAAACTGGCTGCTGCTGTACTAGCCAAGTGATGGTACTTAATTAACATGATGATGCATTAAGCCTAATTATATTATGTGTCATATATGTGTATGTATCATGTATGTATGTATGCATTTAGATGTTCATATAGCAGAAACATCAGAGTAATTGTAATGCTCTTGATGATTTGTGTAAAACTAAAAAAAATCTGTGTTTGCATGTTCATCTTAATTAATTTCTTTTTTGAGAATTCGAGGAATGAAGAAGTTATTTTTTTAGTAGTACTGGCTTTATTATAATGTAGTACTGTTCAAATATATTTTTCAGTATGTTGAAGTGTGTAGAGTCAATGGGGTGGCGTTCTTTCCACTCAAGCCAAGAGAGAAACTCTTTCAAGAAGAAGCTGATATCAAAAATTTATACATGATTGTATTGCCCTTTTTTCCATTAGATTGAGTTAGTCTTTTTAACACTTTCTTTCCAATGTAGGTACAAAAATGGGGTTTGAAAATAAGATTTATAGGGTGTTTGAAAATAATCTTTGGGGGTGGTATTTCCGTTTATGTTTTTTTTTTGTTTCTTTGAAAAGAAGTGGAGTATACTCAAGAACATTTTGGATTGAAATTATGTTTGAAAAACATAGACAACTTGTTTGTTCCAAAGATATTTATATTTTCTTACAAGCCCGTTCACGTGACTTTGAACTCAATGTCATAGGATGACATTAGTTTTCTATGAGCCTCTGTTGGTAAAATTGATAGTTCCAACCTCCTGCCCCGCGGCCATCCTCTCCTTCGTTGATTGGTTACAGTGGTCACTGTAGCCAATCGGCGAAAGAGATGAGAAAAGGAGGAAGGGAGAGTGGGGGCATGGATTAAGGGGTAAGAATTATCAATTTTACAAACGAAATTCGGCCTATGGAAGCTCGGGTCATTCTATGTCATTTATGTATGTATTCGCTTCATACACAATTGAACTTTTTTTTTATCTTTTGAAAAAACATTTTCAACCTTGAACCTTATCACCTCAATTGTGTACCGCCGTATGTATTTGAATATAGAAAAATATTCAAAAATAATAAAAAATGCTGCAAAATTGCAAACGTGGTGTTTGAATAGCCATCATTTTAGTCATGCAGTCTTAAGTTTTAACTTTTAAGGTACTTTCGCCCC